TGCCATCCTCCAGGTGGTGCCTGGAGATCTCCTGGGGTTATAACTGCTAAAATGGCTGCCGACCTTCCTTTCAACTTTGCTTGGGGATGGAGGAATGGCCAGGTCTTTGGTAGTGCAGAAACTGGGGGAGGGGGTCAGATGATACATTTGGCTGGGTCCAGAAGAGTCCAGGCTTTAATCAGTTCCATAAGGGGGGGGGGGGGAACAGAAGCTAAATTGTAACAGGGAAGTTCAGTTTTCTCCACCTTGACTTATGGCTGACATGTAAATTGTGATCATCCAAGTAGAAAGTTTGACACACTGAAGAAACAGGAGGATTGATAGACGGGCCTCAGAGCTGCCACTTTCTGGAGGGTTCTGTGGCACAGCATATGTGGGATAGCATATGAAGGAAGACCTGTTGCAACCTAAGTATCATTTTTCCAAGCCATGTTAGGCCTCTCCCTGCTTATGACCAAGGCTTACAAGGTGTTGACCCATAGCATTCGGGTAAGGTTTCCAGGTCCTCTCAGACCACCGGTGGGGGATTGAGGGGTAGGGTTGCCAGATCCAGGTTTGGAAACTGCTGGAGATTTGGGGATGGAGTCTGGGGAAGACAGGGACCTCAGTGGGGTTCAGTGCCATCAAGTCCCCCCTCCAAAGCATCCGTGTTCTCCAGGGGAACTGATCTCTGTAGTCTGGATATATGTTGTAATTCCGGGGGGATCCCAAGCTCCCACCTGGAGGCTGGCATCCCTATGTACAGGGTAAGCTCCCACCTCCATCTTCAACTACCTGCATTCAACCAAGCAAGAAGCAGAAGAAAAATTAGCGAGTGAAATTATGTCAGAGCTAGAATTGCCAGCAGGAAGCTAGGAACTAAACGGAGACTCACTGGGGAGAGGGCTCACTGGTGATGTGCTGACATAACTTCCGGTCACACCAGAAATGACATCAGCATGTTGGGATGCGTTGCTGACAATTGTCCCTCCCATTCTTCTGCATTTTTCTCCTGTTGACCCACTGAATGGTGGGAAGAAGGCCCTGCTGGGGGCAGGAGATTCCCCCACCCCTAGTGGGAACTTGGCAAGCCTCGTCAGAGCGCTCCCCACAATGCGCTAGGAATTTCCCCCATTTCTGAGATTGGGGACATTCCAACAGTGTTACAGGGGACGTCAGGCTGTGATGTCACAGGTCATAAACAGGGATCACCTGGAAGTTACATCACAGATAACACCCCCCCCCCAATTCCCAAGATTCAGGGGGAAGGGCTGTATGGAAGCACTAACTGACAAGATCACCTGGAAGTTACATCACAGATAACATCCCCCCCCCAATTCCCAAGATGCAGTCCCCTTAGATGTTTGAAACTCAGAACTGTAAGTTGCTTAGATCTTTTAAATGAATGTTAGTCTAACATCTACAAACTGTCTGTAGTTTTTTTGACCTTGAGAGCAACCTCATGAAGGCTTGGTGGTGTATCCTTTCTAGCAGCAAACAATAACTAATTATTTGGCCTTAATTGGTTAGCTGGTTGCCTAATATGCTGGGGAGGCTGAAAAATGGTGATTCTCTCCCAGTTGGCAGTCCTCCTTTTCTCTTATTCTTGACTACTATTCATTTGGAGAATCCTCTATCTTTTCTTCTCAGGACACTGTTTTGCAGCATAGCTTGAATTTGAACTTTGTGAACTGATTGGAATACTTCATCTGGCCAGAATGCTGGTTACTTATATGACCTGTTTTTGTTGCAACAGAAGGTATTTCTTTTGCTTTCTATTTTAGCTTGTCTGTAATAAATCCTACTATTTTTTCTAAGGCTGAAGTGCGGACAGCATTACTTGTGTGTGCTTTTTTTCTCTTCCCCGGAAATGAACCCAAAACTGGAGAGACAAACCTCCTGGAGATGAGGGAGCCTTAGTAATTAAGGTAAACTGCCCCTTGCCAGCTTTTGAAACCTGGAGTGGCTGTGGTTTCAGCATATAGACCCAGGGTGTGGGGGCAATGGGTTCTTACAAGGCCTGGAATCCCTAAAGTGACCAAAGATCCTGGTGTGGCACCAGCTATCACCAGGGCTTTTTTTTTGTAGAAAAAGCCCAGCAGGAACTCATTAGCATAACAGGCCACACCCAACAGCAGAAACTTATTAGCATAGTAGGCCACACCCTGACAGTACAGCACATTAGCATATTAGGCCACACTCCCATGTCACCAGAAGTGTTGTCATCCAGCCACACCCACCTTTTGCTTCTTATTCTGTTTACCTTGTTTGTTGTCAAAACCCAGGGCTTTTTTTGTAGCAGGAACTCCTTTGCATGTTAGACCACACCCCCGAATGTAGCCAATCCTAATGAGTTTCTGCTGTTGGGTGTGCCCTATTATGCTAATCAGTTCCTCCTGGTCGTGGCCAACTCAGGAGCGTGCCGGAACTCCGTTCCTGTGCGTTCCTGCCCCAAAATAGCCCTGGCTATCACCAATGACACATTGCACTGAACAGCTGTTGTGTTGGTGAGGAGGTGTTTTTCCAGATTTATACCAAAGTGTAATCAGTGTTCACAATTTCTTCGTATCAATGGAAGATTTTTTTAAAAGTATATTACTTCTTATTTTACTTGGAGATAAATGTTCCCCTGTTGTGGTCTCCTTTCAAGATTCAAGTGTAAAGAAAACCTGTTAATAATTTTTTAAAAAATAATGAAGTGCAAATTGAATTCCCAGCTCATTGGCATTTGTTGGTCTTTCACTGAACATGTAATTTTTATTAAGAAAAAAAATGAAAAGGAACAATTGTTCTACTGCAAAACAAACACACAGCATCTGCCTTTATGATTATTTCACAATATACATTTATCTTCAAACAAGTTTTGAGAAATTATTTCCAGGACGTAGTTAGCCTAGATATTTTATAAACGTTTTATATGACTTTAGAACTGGGAGTGGAGCAAATAAAAGAAGCAGCCCTGACACTGAAACATCTAACATTTTCTGCAGTACAAATATTGATAATACCTTTTGCATCTACATGATGAACTGTGTTCTAAAGAATTTTATTGTATTTAATTTTGTGTGCAGAAAAATAAATGCCTAGACTATAGAATTTGGCTGCAATGAATTTCACATCCCAGGCATATTTTTGTGTGTGTATATATATGTGTGTGAAAGAAAATTCATTGGAGTCTCTTAGAAGTCTTCTGAACTTCTCCTTCTTCAGTTTCTGCAGCCAACAAATCATGCAGCCAGAATACATCATTCAAAGGTGCTTAATAGACATACTTGGTTCCAAAATCTAGCACTTGGAATTGTTTGTCATTGAACGTGGAACAAACTGGTACCATTTCCCAATGTTTTAAATCCACTATTGCAATATGCAGAAAAATTATCTCAGAATGGTGTGATGAAGATGGTTCTTCTCAGGGTGAGCTCACTCATGGGTGCCCACTACTTGATGGCTTGCCTGGGTGAAGGAGTCATTGAAGGTCAAACTGCACAGACTGAACTTTCATGTCATCTCTTATCCTCACAAACACTATACTTGTTCAAGAGAAGCAGCTTGCACATATAACAGTGAGACACTAAGCGCACAGTTAGCAAGTGACACATGCAACGTGCACGGATTGTGAACAAAGCTCTAGAATTTGGAAGATGTCAAGATTCTGTTAAATAGATTCCTGGACAAACATAAGGAGAAAACAGAAAAACAACTTTCTTTTATAGACAACATTTTAGAACATTTCTGATTTTAACTACTGTTATCCCTCATCCCCCATATTTAATACACAAGTGCCATCCTAAACAGAGTTTCACTCTTCTAAATCCAGTGAAGTCAGTGGGTGTAACTCTGGGTGTAACTCTGTTTAGGATGGCACTGTTAGTTCATCAGCTAAAACAGCATTTTAACTAAGGATATCCTGTGCAGATGTTGCCTTCAAAAATGCTACTGCAGGGTGTTGCTATGTTGTTCAGCTCGTTCAGAACAGAAGATTCTCATCTATGTCTTCTGCAAGAGAGAGAAGAAAAGCTGTTATAATCTTTGAATTGAAAGGGAACGGCAAGGCTTGTTGCGTAACCCAGTGCTGGAAAAGCTAAATCCTCACAATCTGCATTATTAACTCAAGGCTAATATTACTGATATTACTGATATATTACCTCATAATTTTTTTTATATGACTTTAGAACTGGGAGTGGAGCAAATAAAAGAAGCAGCCCTGACACTGAAACATCTAACATTTTCTGCAGTACAAATATTGATAATACCTTTTGCATCTACATGATGAACTGTGTTCTAAAGAATTTTATTGTATATATTTTGTGTGCAGAAAAATAAATGCCTAGACTATAGAATTTGGCTGCAATGAATTTCACATCCCAGGCATATTTTTGTGTGTATATATATGTGTGTGAAAGAAAATTCATTGGAGTCTCTTAGAAGTCTTCTGAACTTCTCCTTCTTCAGTTTCTGCAGCCAACAAATCATGCAGCCAGAATACATCATTCAAAGGTGCTTAATAGACATACTTGGTTCCAAAATCTAGCACTTGGAATTGTTTGTCATTGAACGTGGAACAAACTGGTACCATTTCCCAATGTTTTAAATCCACTATGCAGAAAAATTATCTCAGAATGGTGTGATGAAGATGGTTCTTCTCAGGGTGAGCTCACTCATGGGTGCCCACTACTTGATGGCTTGCCTGGGTGAAGGAGTCATTGAAGGTCAAACTGCACAGACTGAACTTTCATGTCATCTCTTATCCTCACTAACACTATTCTTGTTCAAGAGAAGCAGCTTGCACATTTAACAGTGAGACGCACAGTTAGCAAGTGACACATGCCACGTGCACGGATTGTGAACAAAGCTCTAGAATTTGGAAGATGTCAAGATTCTGTTAAATAGATTCCTGGACAAACATAAGGAGAAAACAGAAAAACAACTTTCTTTTATAGACAACATTTTAGAACATTTCTGATTTTAACTACTGTTATCCCTCATCCCCCACATTTAATACACAAATACCATCCTAAACAGAGTTTCACTCTTCTAAATCCAGTGAAGTCAGTGGGTGTAACTCTGGGTGTAACTCTGTTTAGGATGGCACTGTTAGTTCATCAGCTAAAACAGCATTTTAACTAAGGATATCCTGTGCAGATGTTGCCTTCAAAAATGCTATTGCAGGGTGTTGCTATGTTGTTCAGCTCATTCAGAACAGAAGATTCTCATCTATGTCTTCTGCAAGAGAGAGAAGAAAAGCTGTTATAATCTTTGAACTGAAAGGGAACGGCAAGGCTTGTTGCGTAACCCAGTGCTGGAAAAGCTAAACCCTCACAATCTGCATTATTAACTCAAGGTTAATATTACTGATATTACTGATATATTACCTCATAATTTTAGGCCTCAGCCCAAATGGAACAAGTTTTAGGCTTCAACCCAAACGAGTCAAGTTAATTGTGACTGTAGGTTGGACTACATGTTACATGGTTGTTTTTCCTGAGGACGTTCTCTTATCGTGCAAACCAGTGGCAGTGGGGCTGAACAGTAATTGGGGGGGGAGAAGGGGCCCCTATGCCTTTTTTTACCCTCAAGGAGAAGAACCGTGCTTTCAACATTTCTGCGAAGTGGCTCACTCATTCCCAATATGTGATAGCTGTGGAACAAAGATCAAGCAGAGTTCCATCTTGTGGGAACATCACTTTTTTATTTTGAAAAGTTATTCTGTTTGTCATTCCTCAATTTTCATCTTTTAACACAAAAACCTACAGTAAATCAACAGTAATACCATATACCACTGGTAATTATGTTTCTCATTTAATCTTCCTTATCTCTCTGGCAGGAATAGTGGTTGTTTAGTTGTTGTGTCATCCAAAGAGCTGTTACAAACGGTGGAAAGACAAAGGGGAATTTCAGACAGGCGATAGATTCCGGAAGGGAACCGGTTCTCAAATGGGTTCTGGTCTATCATTTCAGACAGAACCCGTTTGAGAACCGGTTCCCTTCCGGAATCTATTTGCTATTTCATACACAAACACTTCAGTCCCGTTTAGGAACCGGGACTGAAGCGTTTTACCTGTCATCCA